CTTCTGACAGTGAGTTTAGTGGTAACTGTGAATCACATATGCTGTAGGACAGACTCAACTGGCCCTCCTGGTTTTTGCCCGCTGAAGTGTCTGGGCTGAGAGTGGCACCCCATATGCCAGGGTTGTGTGGCATCATTTCTCTGAGCTTCACCTTCCACTGCGTCTGGGAGCCTGTTAGGAAAGAAGACAAGGTTTCCAGCCCATCTTGCTCTTTGTCTTCACAAACAGCAGTGAAATACTTCAGATTGGGTAGGCATGACTCTAACATGCTCATTGTTTTTATACTGACATAGAGCTCCTCTAAGCTAGAAGTAATCTCTCCAAAGTCAGCAGGAGCAGAATCAAGCCTTGGAATCACATCACTTCCTTCCACCCCCAGAAATACTCGCTGACCTCTTCTTTTCCCCTCCCATCAAGCAGTAGCAATGTGAAATTAAGGAAAACAGCAGCAGGAGCTGTGGCAGCAGCTGCTTCTCCGAGCCCAATCCCGATGAGGCCAGGAGGACATTCTTTCCTGTGTTGTGGTTTGCTGACTTTTCTCTTTGTCTTGTGTGAAATGGGAACAGAGCAGGGAGCATGCCCAAGACAAATGGCTCATGTGGTTTTAACTTCACTTGGGCTCAATCCTGATCCCAGTTGCATAGGTGTGAACCTGGGGAAATTCTGCTGCTTCTCTGGCCCCACTCCAGGTTTGCCCAAGTGGAACCGGCAGCAGAAACATGTGCTGAGATGCTTTTTGGGGCATTCCAGCTGCCCAGAGTAGTTGTTTATTACTTTACATTTCCCTTCACCATGAGAATTATATAACCTCGGAGGGCTGAAACCTCACTGTCCTGCTTGATTCCAAAAGGCACATGAACTGCTTGTCAGGTATGGGTCATCATCCACAGAGGTCTTTGACTTGTGGTGCTTGGTACTTTGCAAAGAACATCAGGCTCATTGGGCTTCTTTGGGGTCCTCCTCCAGGGCTTGGCTTAGTAGTGTTGGCAGCACTTCTCATTGAAGTGAGGAATTGAACCAGGTAGCTGATGGCTGAAAGCAGGAAACCTCCAAGGTGTGAGCCTGCAAGATAGTTCTGGCTGTAACACAGGTTTTCTTTTTTGCAGACAGCCTCAGTGCTGACTTACTTGTTCAACCTACTAGTACAGACCTCCACATCAGGATACATAGGAATCCATGGCTGTGCCACTTCCCTATGGCTTCTCCCAGTTGCTGGTGGGGATGGATGGGTGTGTGTTGCATCCCCAGTGCTTTCTCTGCACAGCACTGATCTTTTTCATGCTTCATTCATTCTTTCCTCATTATTCCTGAAGTCTTTACAGTGCCTCAAAAATTTTACAGGAGTGTATCACTTGGTGGCCAAATAGGCCAGACAAGGAGTCTGTCTGTGGTTGATGGTGTTTTGGGATCACATGCCAACTCTATTTGAGGCTCCTATTAGCACAGGTACACTGATTAACAGGAGTTTGTTCTTCATTACTGTAAGGTTCAAAGGAAACAATAAAAGCACCAAAACTGTTGTAAAAATCATGCTGTGTGGATGTCCAAGAGTAGCCTGTTTTGCAGGGCATCAGTGAAAGACCCTATGTTTTCTCTGGGCTTGGTAGCTGGAGAGTTAAATATGAGTATGGCTTTCAAGCATTGGTTGTGGTCAGAAAGGAGCTTAGACTATGCCTGGAGCTTCCCACATGCCATGGAAAACCAAGGCAAAACCTCCTAGTCTGATCCAGCCATGAAGGGCAGCAAGTTAGTTTATGTTGACAGCAGTAGTGATAGTGCAGTGTGAAAGGTAAGATCCCAAAGGCAGTGAAACGGCTCAGGATTTTCAATAGTGTTGGGCAGTTCTGTTTCAGTGTTGGAACTCATATTTGACAGCATTTGGCAATTTATATAATTTAGCAAACAATTTTGTTGTAATTTCTGTTTAATCTGCCATTAAAACTTCTACTGCTGGTGGTAGTATTGGGTCAGGCCTCTGGGACAACAGATACAACTATCAGGACAAACCCAAGAAGCCTCCATATATAAATTAGCAAATAAAAGTACTTTGCAAACAGGGGTATTGAGAGGTGAGATGGGATAGAAGGGAAGGAAAATCAGGTTTTAATAAGATAATAGTTTAATAAACCAGGCCACTCCAACTGGTGTTCATAAGGGGTTTGACATGTCTGGCATTGGTGGTATTTGGGCATCATTTGCAGTGGGAGATGACACACTTGGGCTTGGAGGAGTGTAGCGGGGAATGTGGTTAAGTGCTGGCCACTTTGTTGGTACTCTCTCTAAGGAATTTTGAAGAAGTAGCACTTTCTTGGTAGTATTTCTGTCTAGCTTTGACATTCCCCTAGTGATAGACTGGGATTCTTTGACACTTCTCAGCTGATAAGCAACATGTGGGTGCAGAATTCGTCTTAGGGGAGAAAGAGACATGCTAAAGTAACTGCTCAACAAGGCTGTGACTCAGTGATGTGAGCTGAGCACTCTGAGAGCACAGTTTGCTTCTGAGCACTACTCCATGACCAAGACCTCCCTAGCTTTTCAGAGTGTGCATCTATAGATGTATTACAGCCAATTCTCAGTCTTGCTCGCAGTACCCTTTTCAAGAAGGGGTGTTTCATTATAGTCAGAGTACTTGGAAGTGCTTAATTAAGATTATCTGTGCATTTTCGCTTTAAAAGTCTTCATGTTTTTCCAGCATAAGTGGCTTATGATCTTGAATTTGCAGTGTTTAGACTGTTTTACCGAGCTTTTCTTTGCCTGAGGAGTAGATTAAGAAAAGAGAAAGGAGGAAAAAAAGAAGTAATTCTTACAGTCCTAGGAAGGTGCTGGAAATGCTGGTTTGTTGCTGTTCTAAAGAAAATTCGCTGCTACTTTCTTCTTTGGATTGCATCAGTGCCTCTGCAGCTGGCAGTAGAAATTTGATACCTCATTCAAAATAGGTCAGAGCTTTTCTTTGCCTGAGGAGTAGATTAAGAAAAGAGAAAGGAGGAAAAAAAGAAGTAATTCTTACAGTCCTAGGAAGGTGCTGGAAATGCTGGTTTGTTGCTGTTCTAAAGAAAATTCGCTGCTACTTTCTTCTTTGGATTGCATCAGTGCCTCTGCAGCTGGCAGTAGAAATTTGATACCTCATTCAAAATAGGTCAGTCTTTTCCAGAAACTGTGGC